TCACACACACACACACACACACACACACACACACACACACACACACACACACACACACAGAGACACACACACACAGAGACACTCTTACTATGATATTAATATTTATTTGTGTTTAGATAAGGCACAAGGTGCTGTAGGGCTGGGCTAATTGTGATGTCTCTGTGTTTACACTACAGTTCTAAAAGTATTATTACTATCTGTTTTCTATTGTAATATATTTTGAAATTCTGAGTATTCTGCATTTTCAGCATCATTACTCCAGTCTTCAGTGTCACATGATCCTTCAGAAATCATTCTAATATGCTGATTTGCTGCTGCAGAAAAGTTTATTATTATTATCATCATCATCAGTGTTGTGCTGCTTCATATTTTTGTGGAAACTGTCATACCGTTTCAGGATTCTTTGATGAAAGTCAAAAGAACAGCATTTATTTAAAATAGAAATCTTTTGCAACATTATGAATGTCATTGCTTTGATCAGTCGAATTGTTGAACAGCATTGTTGTTGAATAAAAGTATTGATTTTATTTTTGTTTTGTTTTTAAAAAGACAAAACTTTTGAACAGTAGTTGTACGTGTTTCTACATTATACATAGAAAATGCATCTAGTAATTAAAACAATAAAAGTAAAATAAATAAGAACAGTCAAGGCTTGTTTTCCACTCTTTGTCTTTGGCCAAAATAATGATATTTAATAGTTCTAAACAGCAACATAACAGTCTTTGGTCAGTCAACATAACACGCATATATATTTTTACTCAATTGTTTTTATGGCTCTAGGACATTTTTTTTAGTTTGCGTTTCAAAACAAACCATACAGTTTGGGTTTTGAAATGGACAGTTTGACCATATTAATGGAAATAAATTGAACTTCCCAACACAGTCTGCATTTTTGCCAATACAATTTAAATCAGATGCTTTTAAAATATCTTAATGGTCAAATTAAAAGCCAAAAAATCCTTGCACTATTCACAGCTGTGTTCACAATGCCAACCAAATAACTGTAAATATTGTCATTTTGTCAACCTGACCAAATATATTTGTGATTTTTCTCTCTCTCTCTCTCTCTCTCTCTCTCTCTTTTAGATAAGGCACAAGGTGCTGTAGGGCTGGGCTAATTGTGATGTCTCTGTGTTTACACTACAGTTCTAAAAGTATTATTACTATCTGTTTTCTATTGTAATATATTTTGAAATTCTGAGTATTCTGCATTTTCAGCATCATTACTCCAGTCTTCAGTGTCACATGATCCTTCAGAAATCATTCTAATATGCTGATTTGCTGCTGCAGAAAAGTTTATTATTATTATCATCATCATCAGTGTTGTGCTGCTTCATATTTTTGTGGAAACTGTCATACCGTTTCAGGATTCTTTGATGAAAGTCAAAAGAACAGCATTTATTTAAAATAGAAATCTTTTGCAACATTATGAATGTCATTGCTTTGATCAGTCGAATTGTTGAACAGCATTGTTGTTGAATAAAAGTATTGATTTTATTTTTGTTTTGTTTTTAAAAAGACAAAACTTTTGAACAGTAGTTGTACGTGTTTCTACATTATACATAGAAAATGCATCTAGTAATTAAAACAATAAAAGTAAAATAAATAAGAACAGTCAAGGCTTGTTTTCCACTCTTTGTCTTTGGCCAAAATAATGATATTTAATAGTTCTAAACAGCAACATAACAGTCTTTGGTCAGTCAACATAACACGCATATATATTTTTACTCAATTGTTTTTATGGCTCTAGGACATTTTTTTTAGTTTGCGTTTCAAAACAAACCATACAGTTTGGGTTTTGAAATGGACAGTTTGACCATATTAATGGAAATAAATTGAACTTCCCAACACAGTCTGCATTTTTGCCAATACAATTTAAATCAGATGCTTTTAAAATATCTTAATGGTCAAATTAAAAGCCAAAAAATCCTTGCACTATTCACAGCTGTGTTCACAATGCCAACCAAATAACTGTAAATATTGTCATTTTGTCAACCTGACCAAATATATTTGTGATTTTTCTCTCTCTCTCTCTCTCTCTCTCTCTCTCTCTCTCTCTTTCTAAAGCAGAAAAGCCTCAAAACGGCATTCATTCAAGATAACCAAAGATTATAAATGGTTGTTTCACAATGTGTTTTAATATTATGCTCTCCTGACTCACAGGAAGCGTTTGGAGGCGTCGGACTCCAACAGCTTTGGAAATGAAGTGTTCAGGGTGACCTTCCAGAAGAAGGGAGACTACCCTCTGTTCGGCTGTCAGTATGACTTCAGTCTGGAGGGTGTCGTCAACGTCCCCGAGTTTCTGGTGTATTTCCCGCTGTTTGAGGAGTAAGTGTCTCATGATTGTGGTTTTGTTGATGTGCCAGCAGAGGGCGAAACAGCTCCATAAATGTGTGCTGTAATGTTGAACACCTTGATTTCTTAGCATTTATTTCTGCTTTTAGAAAATCCTTAATAATAACACATGCAATTTGTTTTAAATGGAATTATATGTAAGATTATAGATTCAAACAAACAAACTCTCCAGTTTGGCAAGAAAGCGCTATCATAAATGATGATAATGTATTTTACATTATTTCTAATTGTATTATTCATTTATAAATTTTTTTAATAACTTTTTTTTTTTTTTTTGTCCAGAATGGCGAAAAAGTACAACATGCGTCTGGTTTACAAGAAAACCTTTAAAGAATTCTTTGAGGAGAAAGTTAAAGAGGAGAAGAATAAGGTTCTGATGCAGTGGATGCAGGCGCTGGAGGTTTGTGGCTCTGTTCTGACTGACTCTAGTCTTTGATAATTAATGAATCGGTGTTGGTTATTTTCTCTATTAATTCTTTGTGTGCTTCACAGTTTAATCTAATTCGGATTATGGGAGTTTCAATTCCTATTCCATAATTTCACAGTACATTTTTTATTGATTATTCTGCTGTGCAAATGCAAAACGCGGCAACACATTTTGTCACTGTCAGTGAGATATGACTGAAACAGAGCCTCTCAGACTATGATCTGTCCTTTCCAGTCGCAGAGATATGCACAATATATACGAGTTGCCGCTCATGTGCTGCGGTAGTGTTTGTCTTCTATGCATCACTGGTTATTTTCACCCTTTCCCTTTCTGCAAAATTAAATTTTTTAAATGCTTTATACTAGGGCTGCACGATAAATCGAAATGGAATCGAGATCGCGATTTGACAGAAGCTGCGATTGTCATGCGTATCTTTCAGTGAAGCACGGTTCTGTGATCAGCAGTAAATCTTCGACAGAAGCTGCGATTGTCATGCGTATCTTTCAGTGAAGCACGGTTCTGTGATCAGCAGTAAATCTTCGACAGAAGCTGCGATTGTCATGCGTATCTTTC